CTCATTCGTTCACAGTCCACCGAATAGCCATCCACTTCTGCGACAATTCGCTGTGCCTAAAAGTACACGACAAAATTCGATAAAATTCAAATTTCCGAAAATTTGGAAAAAATATGAGAAAAGCTTAAAAGCCTAAAATAATCAAAAAATTCCTTTTTTTTTGTCAAAATTCATCGTCCTGCAAAACTAACGGGAATATTTGCGAGGCCTACAAACCGGAACTAAAATGACAAGCCTAAGATTTATGTTCTGGCAAAATACAGGTTTGGTGAGCGATGTTCAGTCGGGACTTCAAATTTCACTTCGGGATAGCTAGTCCTCGAATAAAATAAACGAAATAAAATAGAAATTTTCGAGAAATTTTTATTTCTCGATAAACGGTAACCAGCCAAATGTCCAAGCAGTCTTAGCAATCCTGACAGTTCCGGGCAAGACAGCGCAATGGCATGTGCTAAGGAGTTAAATTCGTCATCAGCTTGCTTGTAAGCGACTCTCGAAGCAGACAGGCAGGCAGTGAAAAACATGGAACTAGAGACCAGTCGGTTTGCTTCCTGTGTGTCTTTGCCTCTCACAGATAGTGAAAATGATAAGAATTTCGACCTTTTCCAAATAAAATCGATGAAGTGAAGAGGGCGGGAAATTTTGTGCGGAGATAAACTCAGAAATATGAAAATTTTGATAATACCGTGGTTAATCAAAACTGGTTTCAGCTGCTTATGAGACGCACAATTTAGAAGGCTGCACTGATGATTCCCGCTTCTATCCGCAAGCATAGTTTGGTCAGTGTGTTTACAGCTAAGGGATGAAACACAGACGGACTGCATCGCGTAAAATGTCTTCTTACACATGACACTTAAAGTCCAATCCCTCTATTCTACTACTTTTTAAACTTCCTGGAAAAAAAGTTCGTGGAATCTGAAGAGAGGGAAAAGAAAAAGAAAAAGATACTTCAATACGATATTCAGCGATTCGACTGCCAAATGTGGACGTGATTGGACTGTCCAGATCGGCCCTGACCGATGTGATGAATGACCCGAGCAGCGCATCGTAACCTCCGTCACTCGATGCAACAACACTCATTACGCCGGCTTCATTCCTGAAATTCATGGATAACGGGGCATGAACAAGCAATTATCCAGCAGCATCAGCGCCATGAACGGTAAAACAGCTTTAGCAAACACCGGAAAACTCGGATGCATCGATGGCGTGAAATTGTAGAACAGAGAAGGATTGGACTTAAGTGTCATGTGTAAGAAGACATTTTACGCGATGCAGTCACTCTGTGTTTCATCCCTTAGCTGTAAACACTGACCGAATTTACATTCAGCAAGAAATAGTAGAATAGAGTGATTGGACTAAGTGTGATGTGTAACAAGACATTTTATGCGATGCAGTCTGCCTGTGTTTCATTCCTTAGCTGTAAACACACCGACCAAATTTACATTCAGATTAAGAATTACTAGAATAAAGGGACGAGACTAAGTGTTACGTGTAAGAA